GATCTCCCTGTTCCCTGGAACAGACGCTTGAGGGCTTTCTCTTGTGGTTTCTTAATTAGCGGTGGTCTGGATGCTGTGTGACAGCGCCTGTGAGTGTGCGTGTCTCTTCCTCTCTCCCGCTGTGCGCGCCTCTCCGGTCACCCCCTCCAGCCTCTCACCCCCTGGCTGTGTCGCTGTCTCTCAGATCCCCAGTCAGTGCATGACCTGCGTCAGTTTCCAGGCCGTCCGGGAGTACATCGTGGGGAAGACCGCGCCCGTGCCCGTCAAGGTCTACGACTACTATGAGCCGGGTAGGCTAGTGCATTTTTCTTTCTTCCCCAAAGCTCGGGGCTCATAAGTACGAGAGCCGTCACCCACCAGCAGGCCCAGCGGGCGGGGTGGGCCAAGTGGCTGGCTCTGCGTTGCTCCGAGAGGGCGGAGGACGTGACGGGGTCTCTCTCCCTCGCAGCGTTCGAGGCCACGAGGTTCTACAACGCCAGCCAGAGCAGCCCCCTGGCCCGCGAGCTCTGCGACGGCACGACCTGCAACGAGGTGGAGAGCTCGACCAGCCACTGGAGCGGTAGGTCTGCCTGCCCGCCGTCTCGCGACCGGGGGCGCCGGGGTGTGAGCGGGTCCGTTAGGGCAACTGGGGCTCCGATCTCGGCACCAAACGCTCTCTGAATGGCTGGATTAATCGGGTCGCCTCCTTAATTCATCCCAAAGAAACGGTTCCAGGTCTTTAGAAAGTGGGGGGTCCCCTGGGGTCCCAGGCCTCTAGACCCCCCCCTGCTGTCGATTCTCGCAGTTCAGTTAAATTCGGGCTCTACTGTCCTGGTTTGGGGAAATTTGTCTTACAGCACATCCCCCCAATATAAAAGAGGAGGCGCATACACAAGGCCAGTGACGGAACAGGCAGGGGTGTGCCTCTGTTCGCTACAGGGCAACACCCAGGATGATGATGATGATGATCACAGGGAGATGAAGAACATCTGGCCCCAGCTGTGGGGTCTGATCGTCTGGGGAGCGGGGCCCCTTATACATTCGTCTTCGCATAAATTCTTAAGCGCCAACTTTTTTCCCATCATACCCACCCGATTTGCGTCCGCCAGACGTGCGTCTCTCAGGTCCCGGGTGACCCCCAGATCCGCACGCGGAGGAAGGGGAGCAAGCGGACTCCCCCGCTCCACCCGCCTTCCAGCCCCTCGTCTTCGAGCCCGTCACAGGCAGAGCCACCCCGACCCGGAGGTCCGGCGCCGGCCGGAGGAGAGGCCTGACCCTCACAGGGCGCTCCTGGGAGCCAGGAGATCACCGGCCGGCTCATCCCACCCTCCGCCACCCTCCGCCCGGCAGTGCAGGGTCACGTCAGCCAGCGACACGGCCCCCGGCTCGAACCCGTGTTCGCAGAGCTCGACACGCCCTCAGGGGGGCCGCCCTTGCCCCCCCGCGCCTGTCACGATCTTCCTACCCTTGGATTTTGTCACATGGAGCGCCCGAGGTATCGACCTGCTCTTCTTCCAGGTCTTTCCGAGCTGGAAACCTCCCGCAGGAGAATCTACAACTTTTTTTCCCCTCTCCTTTCAACCCTCATGCCTGATCTTCCCAAAGCGCAGTGTTCAGTTCTGCCGCCACGTGTGAGGCGGGGTGGTGGACCGGGGAGAGGCAGAGGGAAGCTCCCTGGGCCCAGATCTCGGAGCAGCAGCCCTCTGTTATTAGCGTTTCCGAGAGACACGCTCTCATTAGGCCGGAATGGAGTTGCTACAACAAACTCCGGCGTTTTGCCACTCGTTGCCACGGCAACACGGCTGTGACCCTGCCTTTGTTGACGGTCTGTTTTCCTGGCCTTGCTCGCTTCACCGCGGGACACCACCCCCCCTCCTCCTCCTCCTCCTCCTTCTCCTCCCCGTCCTCCGCCTGCTGTCTGCGCTGACACCTGCTGCGCGGGGCTGGGGGGCCGTGCCCAAACCGAGGCAGGCAGGCCCTGGGGCGCCGGCTTGGGCCTCCCTCCTGTCTGACAGAGGCGCTGAGAGCCGGTGGCGGCGGGGGGGGCCGTGAGAGGCCGCAGCAGAGGAGGCCCCGGTCCCACAGGCCCGTCTGCAAGGCCAGGGGCAAGATTTGCGAGGCAGGCCAGAGGGGAGGTCACGGTCTCTGGGCTGTGATTAAATGGTCACTGGTGGCATCCTGTGACCTCAGCCAAACGATACCTCCCTCCCCAGCCCCCAGACTTCTCGAAACACTCGAGACCGACCGCGCTGCTCTGTAGGACAGCCAGAGTGCCCCGCGATCAGCAGGAAAACTGCAGGGGACCGGCGGGCGCTTGTATCAAGAGGCACCAGCCTTGTGTTTTTTCTCCCGTCTGCCTTTCAAACACAACGAGAGCGTGAAGCCCAGGGCGCGGCCTGCTGCAGACGGGTCGGGCTCTTGCTCCTGAAGATGAGCTCAGCCGAGCAACGTCTGAGATCTGGGGAGGGGGCTTTCCTCTCGAAGGGATGTGAGTCCCAGAGAGTCCTGCTGGTTCCACCCAGATCTGTCGCCCCTCCTGGTCGATTACCAGCTGCTTCAGCTTGCTGGGAGGCCAGTTTCCAACCAGCTGCCCGGCCCCAGGGGAATCCCGTCCCTCAGTCGCGAACCCACTGGACCGTGGCGTTCGCGTGTGATTGAATTATTCCGGCTGTTGGCCTGCTTGCCCAAGCTCAGGAGGCGCTAGCGTGTCCTTACGCCGTGTCCCTCTCGTGTCCCGACCCCAGGCTTCGTGCAGCCCGGCTCCTGCCACAACGTGTTCGGCTGCCCCGAGGAGGAGCGCTCCGAGCGCTGCACCTGCGCCCGGGACTGCGGCTACGACGGCGATCTGGTGTGCGGCTCCGACGGCGGCCTGTACCAGAACCAGTGCCAGATGGAGGTGGCCGCCTGCCGCAACGGCACCCGCATCGAGCAGGTGCCCCTGAACCAGTGCCCCACGGGTACGTGTTGCGCCCGTCTCGCTGGCTCGCTCGCTCGGGGCGCCCCAGTTCTGACCCGCCATCCGGTGCCACATCTCCTGTACTGTCCGGCTGGCTCTTCCCTAGTGAGGCTGGTGCACCACGCTGCTTCTTTTTAAAGGGGAAATGCAGTCCCAGTTTCTTAAATCTGGGTCACAAAATCAATTCCGTGACAGCACAGAAGAATTGTGCAGATTTCGAACCCAGCACCACATCGTGAACTTGGTGAAAGCACCGTACATCACCATGTTGTCACAAACCCGCGCGCAAGTTCTCACGTACTGTGACGAGATGTGGCCCTTCCCGCTCACTAGTCTTTGCAATGACATGGGATGTGGGGCGAATAAACACAGGTTGCGCTGCCGACATTTCACTGCGGAGAAGTTCCAACGTGATCTGCATGCAGCGTTGACAAGTAAATAGTATTCTTTCTCACCCCAAAGTATGAAAAAAGTGTTGCAGTTCTTTGCTGTCATTGTTCTGGGTTGTGCCCTGGGCTGTTTTCACTGATCCAGGGGGTCAAATGTGCAGACAGATGAGATGCTTACCAGAGGAGAACAGGAATTAAAAAAAGCTTTTATTGCTTGCAATCTGCCCCCTGCTGCTGCAACAAGGAAGTATTATTAAATCCGAGATTGAGGGGAGGACCCACAGAGGGTTGGGGGAGTCTGGAACGAGCTGCCCAGGGACCCTGCCCTCTTTCAGGAAACAGCTGGATGATACCCTGGGATCTGTTAGCGCCCAGTGTCCACAGTGGGCTGGAAGGGCTGCTCTCGTTTGTAGTCATTCTGCTGCTGCTACTCACGAGCACATCAGTGGGATCTGTCCAGGAGGAGCCCGAGAGATTTCGCCCCGACCCTCGCAGGAAAAGCGTGCTTCCCTTTTCTCCTTCGGGGGGCCTTGAGAATCCCCAGAGCTCCCAGCGACACCACAGCTCAGGCCAACAGAGCGAAGAGTGGCACTGGGAAGGCGGAGGCCGGC